TGAGAGGGAGGGCAGGAAGGGTTGCATCAGTGCTTAGTTCTTGTGGCCCTTTCTTACACGCCCAGGGAAATGCTGATCACCACTTTGGGGTCAGAAAGCCATTGTTCTCCAGGCCAATTTGGCCAGGGATCCTGGGGTGGGGTTGCCCTCTTCTGGGCATAGAGCAGGGGTCACTGGGGGTGTGGGGGGAAGTATTTATGAGTTTCCTGCATTGTGCAGGGGGTTGGACTAGAAGACCCCGGAGGTCCCTTCCAATGCTATGATTCTATGATGGTGACCTCGTCATTTTGAAACTTTTTGATGATGTAGAAACGTTTATACAAATTGAACTGCAGCCCCTTGATTGGGGTAATAAAACAGCTTGGAAAAGGGGGAAAAGAGACGAAATTTAATACCCCATTCAACATACTGCTATTCCGTTTCTTCTTCGAGAGGAAAAATAAAGTTGAGTTAGAATAGGATGTTGAACCTTTGCCACTGAACTTCCTTATCCCAAGTTTCTCTTTGGCGTGAAGTGCCTTCAAGTCTTTTATCAGCCAGCCCATTAAACCACCCCGCAGTGTTCCACAAGATAACTAGGAGAGCCTGTAAAACTTAGAGATACGGTAAAATTAGCATTACCGCCTTGTAATTGTAATGAAGCACTTCTCTGTGTGCCTTGAATTACTCAAATGCCCCATGCAGTTACGAATCTTGCTGTCATAAACTCTTACTTTCTCAAGGTCCTTGCTTTTTTGAGGGCGGGGGAGTGGTGGCAGAATTTAGATTTTTGTGTTTCAGCTGATAGCAAAAGTCGAACAAGACAAGACTCCAAGTTCATTCTATTTTGTGTAACACACATAGAGCTTCCTTGTGTTGAACAGAGAGGGGCCATGGCTTAGTGGTAAAGCATCTCGATGGCATGCAGAAGGTCTCAGGTTCAATCCCTGGCATCCCCAGGTGCAAAGGTCAGGTAGAAGGGGATGTGAAAGACCCTGGAGAGCTGCTGCCGGTCTGATTTGATAGACCAAGGGTCTGTCTGATTCAGGCCCGTAGCCAGGATTTCTTCATTCAGGGGGCTTTTAAATAAGTCAGGGGACACTGATAAAATAAAGTAAAATAAACTCACACTCGCAGGCAGGAGCAGGGTTATTTCCCCTATTGTGGAGGGTGGGTGTAAGTGGAAGTCAGTCACTGACTCCGAGTAACCTGAGGAGGATCCCCTCCCTCTCCAGTGAAAGAGAACAGTATTTTCCTCAATATCCCTATTCTCATCACCACCTGCTACAGATAAGCATCATCGAAATCAAAAGCATATCTATATTTAATATTTTTGATGTGCCTTGGCATGAAAAGGGTGCCGAGACTGCCTTACTATGCAAGGTATAATTCATATATGGGTATTGGTCTTTGGCAAGCATCTTCCCATTAGCAAGGAGAAATTGTTAGGTTTTCAGTTAAAATGTAATTTGGATGCATCCTCACCATCCAAAGACGTGAGAATTCCCTCTCATCTTTGTTCCTTGGCTACTGTCTGTAGGTGATTCCAAAGGAGTAGCCATGTTATTCTTCTGTACAAGTATATAAAGACCAACTAACTATATTTCAGTATAGGCTTTTGTGAGTCAGAGCCCGCTTCTTCAAATGAATGAAGTGTAAGATTGCCACCTGCAGCTGGGGAAATTTTTGGAGATTTGGGGGTGATGGCTGGGAGGAGTGGGGTTTAGGGAGGGGAAGGAGCTCAGCAGGAGTGCGCTGTTATATCCTGTGACATCACATCCAAGTTAAAGGTCAACTTCCTGTGGCGGTCACTTCCTCCCAACAAAATTCAAATGTTAAACTTTCTCACCTCGTATCACTTCCACCAACCCTTTTCTCTCACCTTACATCGCTTGTTGGATTCTGTATGCATATGTTTGTAATGTCATACTAACTTTTTGATCCTAAATATGATTGTGCTGGTATCACTGGCCACTATCCAGGTATGTTCCACTCAGCCTTAAAAAAACTTCTCGAAATCCTCTTCACTGAGAAACACCTGAAGACCCAGAGGAGGATGCCCACCAGCAGCAGGCCCCCATGCATTCTTAATCCCAAACTGGCCTGTAGCTTTTAATGTCTGTACAGGTGACGGTCAGTTTCTTCTAGCCTTTATCACATTTCATAGGAGAAACAGAGCTCCTAGACTAGAGCAATCACCCTCTGTACCCACTCTAGGACTTCTCCAAGAATGTGTAGAGTCTGCTCTTCAGAGTTGCCATTTCCTCCAGGGGAACTGATATCTGCATTCTGGAGACTGGTTGTAATTCTAGGAGAACTTCAGACCCCCATCTTGAGCTTGGTTACCCTAATAAGTATCCCACCGTTGGGGCTGATTTGATATACCGCAGAGCAGGGGATGTTACAAAGAGTGGCCAGCAGTGTTCCCTCTAAGCTGAGTTCGTGTGAGCTAGCTCACATTTTTTTAGCCTCCGGCTCACACATTTTTGTCTCAGCTCAGGAAGGAGGGCTCCAGAGCAAACTAATCTATTCCATAGCCAAATTGCTCGCTCACAACTTTAATGCCAGGAGCTCACAGAATCGACTTTTTGCTCACAAGACTCCCCAGCTTAGAGGGAGCCTTGGTGGCCAGTGTTAAATAAAATCCAATACAAGGAGTAATCAATTCATATGGAGTAGGTGTGGGACATCCCTGACAACAGCAAAGTAGAATATACAAGAAGTCTAACACAGGATGCAATGAAACAGGGAAGAAATTAGCATCTGTAAGGGTGGGATATGTGAGATGCTACCACTTATAGTAAGTTATGAATCCAAGGACCATGTCAAGCTGGGGGGGGCGGACAGGTAGGTAGGGTACATTGCCCTGAATTTGTGAACAACCTCTTAATTCCTACCTGTAAAATTCCTATAAAGGAGAGGAGTAACAGAAGCAAGTGTCCTAAAAGGACTGCTGGGAGGTAGAGGGAAGAGAATAGATGAGGTCTCTTTCAGGAGGAAGAAGGGGGACTTTTTCTTTACACAAAACACATTTCTCTGTTACTACTAAGGTCAAGCTGTGTGATCTTTGTAAGCCACATTGGGTTGGGTTTTTTTGTATGGGGGGGGGGGGGGACCTTGAACTCCACTGCCCCCAACCCCTTTTATAGCCGGAGAAATGTTTTAAGATCCATTTTTAAGCTGCTCCATGTTTTATGCTTTTGCTGTTTTGGAAACCTTGGGTTTTTAGTACCATTTATGACTTGTGTTTTATTGTGTAAGCTGCCTTGGGCGGGTGCCCTGGAGAGCTGGCACAGAAACTTCCCAAATAAATGAATGTTTATCATCTCTTGCTAGAGGAACCACTGTAACCTTTTTGACCTTTCTTCTTCTCTCCTGAGCAAGGTGTTGTGTGGGATCTCTGTTACCCCATTACTGTCAAGAGAGAAAGGCGTAAGCAAAACCAGCAAGCATTCTGAATGAGATTCGGGTGGGGTAGCCGTGTTGGTCTGAAGCAGCAGAACAAAGTTTGGGTCCAGTGGCACCTTTAATAAACCTTTGTTGAATAAAACTTTGTTGTTCTTAAACATGCCACTGAACTCAAACTTTGTTCATTCTAAGTGAGGTGTGTGATGAAGTTCTTTTGATGGGTAAGGAGCAGAAGTTGAATAGTGTGGTAAAAGGTAAAGGTTCCCTTGCTCGAAAGCCAGTCGAATCCCACTCTAGGGTTGCGGTGCTCATCTCCGTTTCAAAGCCGAAGAGCCAGTGCTGTCCGAAGACGTTTCCGTGGTCATGTGGCCGGGATGACTGAGCACCAAGGCGCACGGAACACTGTTACCTTCCCACCGAAGTGGTACCTATTTATCTACTTGCAATTTCTTGCTTTCGAACTGCTAGGCTGGCAGGAGCTGGAACTAGAGACGGGAGCTCACTCCGTCATGCAGCACCCGGGTCTCGAACGGCTGAACTACCGACCTTCCACAGCCTGCAGTTCAGCGTCTTAACCACTTGAGCCACCGCAGCTCCGAATAGTGTGGTATTATATGATAAAGCATTTGGGGGGTAGCTGCTCTAATCTAGAAAAAGAAAACAAGAACCAGAATGGTTCCAGTGTTTTTAATGGGCACACCTGTATTGAAGGCATGCTGGACTCACCGCCTTAAATGGGCCAAAGAGAGGTGTAAACTAGGCCAGTGTGGCATCTGCCTATAGAATCATAGACTCACAGAGTTGGAAGGGGCCATGCAGGCCATCTAGTCCGACGCCCGGCTCAATGCAGGATCAGCCTACAGTATCCCTGACAAGTGTTTGTCCAGCCGCTGCTGAAAGACTGCCAGTGAGGGGGAGCTCACCACCTCCCTAGGCAGCTGGGAGGAGCCTGCAGCTAATTTGTCTTATGGCTTCTACATCATATTATCACACAGGTGAGGTTGACAGAATCCCCAGCATCTAGTCGACTCTGAAAGTGCCAGGTTGAAATCTTCCCCCGTGCTGACTTGATCCAAGACCCTAATCATATTAGAAGCGTGAACAGAATCAGCTCAGTATTCTCTGTTCCCTCGCCCCAAGCAGAATACTTCCTTCATGACCTATATTTGCTGTACAGCCTACACAGCTTTGAGAGGACATTCCAGACTCTCGCTGCTTGCCAAAGCCTTTCTGCACCTTAAGGCTTTTGTCATGTGGCCAGTTTTCAGAATGCAACTTCTGGGAAGTTGTCAGGATCAGGTTGAGTCTGTGTATTTCACATGGCTCCTTCGATTTCTCCAGCTTTGTTTAGCCTAGCTAGGTAAGGTGAGGGGTTTTTCTGTTTTTGTTTTGGTTGTGGCAGGTGGAATTCTTCCTGTGGCGGTCCGTGGGGTTTTCCCCAAATCGTACAACCTGGCTGTTGCTTTAAGTCCCCTGTGTAAACAGATCTACTGAGTGGCATCTCCTCTTATTGGGGAGGCGGGGAAGGTGGAGGAGGAGAAACCAACTTCAGTGTTGCAACAGGAAACTGTGTGTGTGTCTCTCTCTCTGTCTCAAAAAAGGATTGAGTTAATTTATGTTTTACTGCGCCTGTTTCGAACTATAAATGGGCTGCCTACACACATCTCAAGAGGCAGGTTTAAGTTGAGCCCTGTTGTTGTTCTTTTGGGCCCTGGAAGCAGCAGCACCATGCCTGCGAGAGAGGTCAGGAGCGAGTACAAGAGTAAGTACAATCGGAGCGGTGCCATCTGCCCCTTTTAGAGAGGCCGGGGTTGCCGGGAGGTAGGTGGTAGAAGGACGTTTCAGGACACTCTTGCGTCTTTCGTAGCTGTTTTAAACTGTTTTAAGGAAGATTCTTCTGGATTCCACCCGTGGAGCTGTGTCTGCGTGCAGTGCTTTCACTGGCTAGGTGGAGGGAGAGGCGATTCGCTGGACTGGGCTGGGAACAGGTTGTGCTTTGTGCAGAGAGCTCTTGAGGTTGAATTCAGTGCACTGTGAATTTGTGTCCCGGTTAGAGTGTCGCAGTTGTGGTGGGGAGTTTTCCTACACAGCAGTGAAGCTCTCGGGGTGATCTTTAAAGAAAACATTTTATCTCCTTCATTCGTACTCCGCCTTTCCCCCCAATGGGGACTCAAAGAGGCTTACGTTGTTCGCTTCTCCTCCATTTTATCCTGTGTGAAGTAGGTTAGGCTGAGAGCCTGTGATTGGCTCATGGCTACCCAGCAAGCTTTCAATAGCAGAAGTAGGATTTGAACCCGGGTCTCCTAGATTCTAGCCTAACACTCTAGCCACTGCACCATACTGTCTCGGGACAAGCATCCTTTTTCTTAGTCTAACTTACACAGGGCTGTAGTGAAGATCAGACTGAGGGAGACCTGTACGTGCTGTTCTGAGGTTTTTGGATAGGAGTGTACCAGATGTGCCACATCATCTTCAAAATCGTTGTGGGTAGAAGTGAAATCTGCAGGATTCAATTGCCAAATGTAAAAGAATTGTACCAGTGAACAGAAGAAGAGCCCTGCTGGGTTAGATCAGAGATCCAGCCAAGTGTAGTGTTGCCTTTCCAACGTTGTCCCACCTGGGTGCTAAGGAGACACTCACAAGCAGGGCAGGAAGATAAACCTTTGCACAAAGATTGTGGGAATAATTTATTGGCACTCGCATACAAAGAATGGAATCAGCCCAAATCTTTGTAATACAAGCAGCGGACAAAGTATAAAATTCGTAAGAGAGCTTGGAAGAAAGGAAATATTTCATGTCCAGAGCAACCCCCCCCCCCCCTCAGGAAGAGGAAGTTCTAATTCCATAAAGATATTATGTTAGAAAGGAGAAGCTGGGGTCTTCTGCACCTATATTATAGACCGTTGCTGCTCTTCAAGTGGAATGTGCTACGTTAAAGCCTTGCATCCAGATGGCAGTCTCTCAGACTTTAGGTACAGCAGGTGATTTCGCATGCCCCTAGGAGTCCAGAAAAGTTCTCAAAGGACCTCCCCACCTCAGTTCAACCCTGGGGTCACTGCAGTCATCTGTAGAGTGCTAAGCTGGCCATGGCCCCTGTCAGCTAGGAGGACTGGCAGGGGTTCAAGAACTCCACAGGTTTCATCGAAAATACTTAGTCCACGCTTCCAGGCAGCAGTGGCTACATGGACTGGTAGAGCCATCAAATAGGGAGGGGAACGGGCCAGATTCTGAGAAGGAATTCTTACTTTAAATGAATGCTTACATGCAGGCTCGTGGAAGCTGCTACCAAGTCTCCCTCTTT